GTCCATGAGGATCTTTGATTCGCCCACCGATTGAAAAGGAGGAATGCTTGGGACTGTCGTTGATTTTGGGCTATGTGCTTTGTCCTTGGTTTCGGACGATGCTTTTGGGTTCAAACCATTTTTGGCACAAGCGATAAAACGGTTCTTCCCACTCAAAACAAGGTCTCACCAAGCCAAAAGAAATCCCTATGCTTCACACTCATAGCAGACAACTCAAGTGCACATCACGTGTCAACTGGGAAACTAGGAGGGTCACATATATCAACTACGCAAAGTACCGATAAGCTGAGTGGACTCAAAGAAGCTCGCTCGAATTACACTGAGGTGCCCGACAGTCTGAAGCGCTCGCAAAACATGCAGATTGCGCTACTGGTCACCTCAAACACAGAGAAAACCGCAAAACAAACATGGAGTGTCTTTCCCAGCTGGGTGCACGAGTAACTCCCTTTAGCTCGGAGCAAAAATAGCATGGCTCAAATTGCAGTTCGTTACGAGGCCCGTTGAAAGACGAACCTGTTGAGGCTCAACCCGGTTCGGAGCTTTTTAATCTGCTCATCTGACTCTCAGTGCCCTCTCGGGCTGAGCCAAAATTTCTCACGCATTCCATGGTGAAAAATTTTATCTCAAAATAAAGGTTTGTACTTAAGAGTACCAAGCCCGTCCTTCGGCGGTGTACCCTTCAGCTCCCGGAGCTGTCTCACCACAAGGCGGTAGTAGGCATACGTAAGGAGGTGGCCACCATCCCTGCAACTAAGACGAAAAGACAAAGCAGCTGTGGCTCGAGTAGTTCGTTACCCAACCTTGAAAAGTGCTGAAACTTGCATTTTGGAAAATTTGAAAAATTGCAACGGAGAGTGCTTCACACCATTTTAGCCAGAACGACTTGAGAGTCGCCCAGTCTCAATTTCCATTCCATAAACTTGGGTTCCAATTTGGGCTCCAATCTGGGGTCCCAAAATCTGGAACCCGTTTTTGGCCAGACTCTCTCTTATTGGGATCGATCCCATAAGAGAGAACCAGAAGACCACAGCATAGTCCATGGCCTCTGAAAACCCTGGTGTAAGCGAGACCCGAGGTCAACTCATGGTCTTGGCGTTCCACCCTAAACCCTTGGCTCAGAAAAGCAAAACGGCTGCAGAGCAGACACGACCTTTACAAGCTGCAAAACAACCCTACACAGCTTCAGGATAATGTTGCGTCTCTTTGAGAACAAAGACCTTGGAATACGGATGCGCATGGTCGCATTTCAGCCCTTCAAGACCCTCAGCAACCCCTGCATGCGTAGTCACCACTCCTTGAAGCCCCCCCTTAAAGTCCCTTGAAGGTTCACCCTTAAAGCTCCCTTTCGACGAAGGTCGAAGCCTTCGCTAAAGGGGGGAGGGCCCATTTAGTCTATCGCACTGAGTCAGACTGTTGCTTAACGACGGTCAAACAAAGATTGTACGGAGTCCGAGAGTTTGCATGGTGACTTAACGTTCCCTTAGGCCCTTAAACCTTGCTCACCAAGATCTTGCACTTCACCCTGATCCCTTTTTTAACAACTGCATTCGGATCAAAGCTACCCTGATGAACTTGGCATCAACTTCTCAAGAGATAAGATCAAGAAGCTGAATGCTCTTGAGAGCTTCGCGGTAGGGAACCTGATGTGGATCTGTTCAAGCTCCAAGCTCCCTTCAAGATCATTCTCTACTGGTGGTCGCAGTCGTCGTCGTGGTCGTAAAAGAGGTGATAGTAGTCGTTGTTGTGGTAGTAGGAGTCGTCGTACTAGTAGTAGTAGTAGTAGTAGTAGTAGTAGTAGTAGTAGTAGTAGTAGTAGTAGTAATAATAGTAGTAGTAGTAGTAGTACTAGTGGTAGTCGTAGTAGTAGTAGTAGTTGTAGTAGTACTACTACTACTACTACTACTACTACTACTACTACTACTACTACTACTACTACTACTACTACTACTACTACTACTACTACTACTACTAGTAATAGTAGTAGTCGTAGTAGTAGTAGTGGTAGTAGTAGTAGTAGTAGTAGTAGTAGTAGTAGTAGTAGTAGTAGTAGTAGTAGTAGTAGTAGTAGTAGTAGTAGTAGTAGTAGTAGTAGTAGTAGTAGTAGTAGTAGTAGTAGGAGTAGTAGTAGCAGTAGTAGTAGTAGTAGTAGTAGTAGTAGTAGTAGTAGTAGTAGTAGTAGTAGTAGTAGTAGTAGTAGTAGTAGTAGTAGTAGTAGTAGTAGTAGTAGTAGTAGTAGTAGTAGTAGTAGTAGTAGTAGTAGTAGTAGTAGTAGTAGTAGTAGTAGTAGTAGTAGTAGTAGTAGTAAAGTGAGGAGAAGATTTCTCAGATTTGCCCCCCTCGTTGCTTGTCGTCGTCCTGCGAAGCCCGTAGAAAAAGAGAGGAACAAGGATTAGCCTAGATTTCACCCCCCGAGGAGACTTGTAGCCCCTAGAAGAGGAAAGAGGAAGTGAATTGTTCTAAATTCCACCCTACATTCTCCTCCTCCAATCTTTTTGGTCGTTCTGCGTAGCCTGTCGAAGGCTTCGGGTTTTGGGTTCCCGTGTGTTTTCCCACAAGTGAATCATGCACCGCTGTTCGCATTAAGCCTAAACAAGCCTTTCGCAGCTGGAGCACCTCCGGCTCACAGCTGGCCTTGACCTAACCCCTAGGTGGGGCCTTCTGCTTTTCGGTCGACAAATTCAAAGCCAATTACCCAGGCGAATTGTTAGATCAAGACAGTATGCCCAGTATCCGCCTACTCAGCCTTGTACACCACAGCCTAAAGCCTGGGGAAAAGATCCGTTGGATCCCTTGCCAATTTCGCCTATCCGCCCGCCAATACCAGGAGCACATGGAAGCCAAGACCGCCAAGCCCCTGCGCACAGAAGCCCAAATCATTGCCTCTGCCTTCTTTGATGAGACCCCAGAAGTGCCCGTAGAGCACATGCGCCTAGCGGCGGCCTGGTTAGACAGGATCCAAACTGTCTTTCGCAACGCCTGGGCTCTATGCGGAGCCGCACACCTGCACAACCTTAAGGCCCTAGATAAAAAGGTCAAGGAGCTCTGCCTACACCAGCCTGATGCACAGCTAGGCCTAAGAACGCCCACGACCGCCGAGCTCATCTCTGCCGACAGAAGCTTCGGGTTTTTGGTTCCAGTGTGTTTTCCCACAAGTGAATCATGCACCGCCGTTTGCATTTTGCCCAGGCATGCCTTGCACAGCTGGAGCATCTCCGGCTCACAGCTGGCCTTGACCTAGCCCCTAGGTGGGGCCTTCTGCTATCTGCGCAAGAGGCCAAACATGCCCGCACGTAACATGGGCAGGTTTCAGCCAATATGGTCCACAAGCGCCAAGGCCAGGCACCTTCCTCGCAGGCGCACGGCTTGGGTTTGCCAACAGCCACATCCCCAGACGCGTTTGGGCCTGACTCACGCCCACGTCTGCACCTGCCCTGCGGGTCCGTAAACTGTTGGCCCACCTCATATGCTGCCTACCTGCCTACGCCACGGATGGCCTATTGCATTTGGGAACGCCTAGCCAGCACAGCCACGCGCACGGCCTTCAGTGACCTCCACATGTCCTTGTGCAGGTCCCGCGTGGGTTTGACTGTCACAAACAACTGCGCGTGTGTTTTTTTCTTTGCCTGTAGGACCTTGCTAGGGTTAGCAACCCCTCTCGCCAGGTGCAGTTCACTTCCTCGTGGCGGAGTTCTTCACTGTGGGGTTGCCCACGAACCGCCTGTAGGACCTTGCTAGGGTTAGCAACCCCTCTCGCCAGGTGCAGTTCACTTCCTCGTGGCAGAGTTCTTCACGGTGGAGTTGCCCATGAACTGCCCAAGTGGAGCCACAGGCCCCCAAACGGGGATCTTACAGCCTTCCGCTTCAGGCCACAGCCTCATAGCGCCCAAGCCCTTACGCTCACCTTTGCCTGCAGCCCCCAGGCGGCCCGCAGCCCCCCACGGAGCCGCAGTTTAGGGGGGCCGTAGCCGCCACCTCAAGGGCGGGCCAAGAAGTTATCCTGGCGCCCTAAACGGCAGCCTCGCAAAGACAAGCCTGCATCTTCGCCGCCAGCCTCACCTCGCCGCCCACAGTCGAGCCGCAGCTTCACAAAGGCCGAGCAAGCCGCAACCTCAAGGGAGGCCAAGCAGAGATCTTAGCCTCTAAGGGGAAGCCTCACAGAATACAAGCCTGCGTCTTCGCCTTCAGCCCCAGCAAACAGCCCCCCGTTGAGCCGCAGTCTCAAGGGGGCCACAGCTTTTATCTTAGGCCTTCAGCTTGAAGCCGCAACCTCAAGGGGGGCCAAGCAGTTATCTTCGCTTTCGGCCTTGAGCGGCAGACAAGCAAGACGCAATCTCAGAGCGGCCAAAACCTTCTTCTTGGCAATCTCAAGGAAGGGGCTAAACAGTTCTTTCTTTAGCCTTCGGCTTTCAGCGGAAGCCTCGAGGACGACAAGCCCGCGTCTTCGCCCTCAGCCTCAACCCTCAGCCCCCAGTGGGGCGCAGTCTCGGGGGGGGGCCAGTGCCTGTATCCTGGCCTTCAGCTTGAAGCCACGCCGCCCGCGACGCCAACGCGGCCATCCTGCCTGTGCACTTGGGGACAGGGGTTCGGGATGGCACTTGCCCATACACTGCCCGCGACAATGCCATCTATGCCTAGGCACTTGCTACCGCTTCCCATGCATCTTCATCTTGAGAGGTCGGCAAGACGGAATCGCAGCTTGCTGTGTAGAGTTTTATTTTCATTTGGGAGATGATTTTGTTTTTAACAAAATCAAAGGCTAATGGTCTGTGAGGCCTGATGAGATCTCAAGTAGTATCATTCTCATGGGCATTTTCATGATCGGTGCTGACTTTGTTGGGACCGATGTACGTGCTCAAGTCAGCACATCGAAATTTTGATTTAGAAGTGGGCAAGGCTACTGAGCCCTCATGGCGAGAGGAGGAGCGCTCCTTCCACAGCTGCAGCTTTGCCCGTGGCCATGGTGCTGACAGACCTCGGTGCTCTGACACTTAAGCAACGCTATGGCATCTTCTTCTGCTGCTGGTGGAGCAAGGGGGGTTGGAGCAGCTTCAGATGTTGATGCAGCTATCCTACGTGCAACCTTAACAGAGGCTGCCTTTTCTAGTGGCCGTGCCAAGCGCATGGTGCTTCCTTGGGAGGAAGGTGGCCTGGAGCTTATCTTTGGTGAGAGCACTTTGGATACAATGCTGTCAGTCGTCCCAAGTCGGGTGGAATATCCCACACCTGATGTGCCTGCTGAGCCAGTTGAATCTCAGGCGAGGGTGGCCAAGAGAGCCAGACTTTTCGACCCTGACAGGCCATGTTTTGCAGATGTCATTAGGTTCAACATGAAAGTGAGCGATCAAGATCTAGAAGACGGACGCTGGAGGAAGGGTCTGGAAAAGTGGTTTGTGCTGCTTACTGAAGATCCTTCTGTTTCTCTGGTGGGCAGTTCGGTTTGTGGTCTTCCATTGGTCGATGCTTTTCAAGTGCTGAGGGAGCTTTTCGGTCTCAAGTCGGCGTCTACAGTGGACAAGCGGGCATCTAGTCTGATGCGCTTTATCAAGTGGATGCATGCAGAGCGACCCTTTGGTCGAGCTTTCCCTTTCAACACTAAAAGTATCGATGAGTATGTCAAACACCTGAAAGAGATGGAGGCAAAGGTTGGCGCGGTGGATGGCTTCTTTGAGGCTGTGCGTTTTGCAGTGCATGTCGTTGGAGTGAGCCACGTTGAAGAGTCGCATCACCTTTTTAGCCCCTGGTCCAAGGGTTACCAAGGGCTGCTTCAGTCACGGAAGCCGGAACGCGTCAAGGCTGCTGTTCTTAAGGTGGAGCAAGTGTTTTTCCTTGAAAACTTTCTTCGAGATGACAAGATGGACATTCAGGACAGATATGCTGATGGCTGCTTCTTGTTCTGCCTTTATTCCAGGAGTCGCATCAGTGATATCCGTCAAGTGCATTCCTTGGTTTGGGACGTTGTTGGAACAGGGGATCAAATCACAGGCTTCATCGAGTGTGCTACCCGCTGTCACAAGACGGCGAAGCAGGCCGCGGTGCAGGGAGTTTCTATGCCGCTGGTTGCACCCATCAATGGGATTGCAGATTTTTCTTGGGGCCTTGTGTTCAAGGAGGTTGCTGAAAGTGCAGGGCTCCCTCTCGATGCTGGCCGTAAAGGACCTCTGCTCCCAGCTCCTGACGAGTGCGGAGGTTGGACTCAAAGGTCTGTTTCGACTGTTGAAGCTGGAGAGTGGCTGCGAGCATTGCTGGAGAAGGGCTCCATGTTGTCTTCAGGAGTTTCTGGGCATTCGCTCAAGCACACTACCCTGGACTGGTGTGGGAAGTTTGGGTTGGAGGATGTGCACCAGACCCTCCTGGGACATCATTCCTTGAAAAAGGCTACTATGTATGCATACATGCGCGACAAGCTGGCTTCTCCTCTACGAGAATATGAACGAATGTTGAACGCCGTGAAGCATTCGCTGTTTCTACCTGACTCCACGAGGTCAGGCCTTTTTCCCGCGGGCGAGGCTTCCGAGCATTCCGGCCCTGCCCCTTTCGGTCTGTTTGGCGCGGCTGGACAAAGCGCAGATGGCAGTTTGGAAGGGTCGCCTGGACTTGTTGACTTGGAAGTTGGCGCAGGGCCGATCGAGGAGGGGGGTGTTGGTGAGGAGCAGTCTGATGCCGAAGAGGGTTCTAGCTCTAGTTCGTCCTCGAGTTCTTCGTCCGAGTCCTCTGAGGATGATTGGGTCGGCGGCCTCGATGCTATGACTAAGGTCCATGTGCCTCTGACGTCGCTGCCTGCCATAACTTTAGAGCATTGGCAGCACCAGAGGACTCGAACCATTCACACATGTGCAGTTGGAACGTCAAGTGGGTTGTTCATGTGTGGACGAAAGCAGACTTCTGATTTTCGTTTGATTGATGTTAGTTCCTTCTATGACGTGCGACTTTGCGAGGTTTGTCGCAAAAGTAAGCCGCTGAAAGACAGCGGGTCTGTGGTTGCTGCGTTGGAACAGGCCCAACGCGGCTCCGAATAATCGAATGCCAGTGTGAAAATGTGAAGTGCTGGGGGGGAGCTGCGAGGTGCGGCTCCCATATCCCGTGCAAGGCGACTGGGAAGTCCAGTCGCCGCTTGAAGTGGGAACTGCGAAGTGCAGGTCCCGAAAGGTTTTCCACGAGTGTGGCTGACGTGAGGTGCGTCAGCCTTGCGAGGAAGTGTCTTGGGAACTCACATGTTCGATGTGGCAGCTTTTGTAGGAAAATGGGGCCCTGCAGGAAACCTGACAGTTTACAATGAATCAGTTTTCCGGCTTCAGCAGTTGTGAGGGTTGCACCATGGCCGCATCCGCCTCGTTGACTGAGTCGGCTCCGGCTTTCAGGAGGAGGGCTTTGGAAGTCGGCCTCAGCCCAGGTGAGGTTGACCATTTGGTTGCCAACCACTTGAACACGCTTTCCAAGTTGGCCTTTGCTGTTGTTCCCCCTGGGAAAGTTCCAGAAGATGCTGGCGTGGTGGCACTGCTACCCGCTGGGGCCAACCGGGGTGCGGTGGCCGGCCTGAAACGCTTGATTTTCGAGTCACACACTTTAATAGTTTCGGAGCTGAAGCAGCGTGTGGAACGCAGTGATGACAGCCACTCCGAGTCACTCAACACTGCCGAAAGGGAGTCGAGACTCGAAGAACAAAAGCGGCGTTTGGGAGGTTTGACATTCACCGGCGATGAGGAGGTTGCTCACAATGCTTACAACCTCGTGTTTTCCATGTTGCAGAAGGACGAGCTGCAGTGGCTTAGCCCCGAGAAGTTTGGCACCAGGCGGGCCGAGCTTTCGTCGCGCAAGCCCGCACGTGAGCTGGTGCTTGATGGCAGCGGCTCTGGTGTTGAGGTCAAGGAGCGCGCCTCCCATACCCCCTGCGCTATCACTTCTGAGTTAGATTTGGTGATGGCTTTTCGACGTCGTGCCTTGGCTTTCGATCTGGTCGGTGTGGCTTCTTTCAACGTCTTCAACAAGTACCACCAAGCGTTGGCCCAGCGTATGCAGGAGCTGCCGCCGCCTGGCTATGTTCGGGTCAGTACGGCGCAGGTCATCAGGGCCGATCGTGCCGCCTTTTTGCGCATGGCTGAGCGGGCTACCACTTTGAAGCGGACAGCTGCGGGCGCCATTCCCCTTGACGCCATCTTGGAGAACATCCTTCAGGACCCCTCTGTGTCTTATCACCTCTTACCGCTACCTGCTGGCAAGTCTGCGGATGCAGACGGGAAAGGTGAGAAGGGAGATCGGAAGCGGGAAGCTCCCGATCTTCCCAACAGGCCAAGTAAGCGTGCCAAAGGAGGAGGCAAGCAGCGTACCCCTTTCAATGTCCCAAAGGAGCTGGTTGGTAAAATCCATGAGACGAAGAGAGGCCATCGCCTTTGTTGGGGGTTCAATCTTCCGTGCGGCTGCAATGACGCGAAGCCCGGAGGAAAGTGCGGCAAAGGCTTGCACTTATGCGCTGAGCCGGGGTGTTTAAAGGCTCACAGCTTGCAAGAGCACCACGCCAAAGTTGGTGCCTCGTGACAATCTTCGCCTGCCGCTGTTGCCTTAGGTTTGGCTGCTTCCGATCGCTCTGCCTTTTTGGAGGCTGCTGCAAAGTCTGTGTCGGGCTCGCAGCTTAGCGATATGGTGGTCGTTGAAGTTTTCTGCGGCAGTGGCAGGCTTTCAGCCTCGCTCAAACGCGAGGGTTTTGATGCCTTTGGCGTTGATCACATGGTGTCACGACAGGCTGCGTGCAGTGTTCTCAAACTTGATCTCTGCAGTGAACTGGATAGAGCCCACTTGTGGTCTCTGGTTCGGGATCCTGCTGTTCGGTTTGTGCATTTCACGCCGCCTCGTGGTACAGCAAACCGCGCCCGAGACATCCGCTTTGAAGGTGCTTCAGTACAGCTTCGCAGTCCGACTTACCCTGAAGGGGTGCCGGGCCTCCATGGAGTGCAAGCTCTTAGAGTCTCCAAAGCGAATTCATTATACTCTTTGGTTTTCGAACTTTGTCAGTTTTGCATAAAGCATCATAAGTTCTTTGCCGTCACGAATCCGCGAAGAAGTTATTTGTGGGAGTTACCGACATGGCGCGCCTTCCTCCAGCAACCTGATGTGTTTCAAACGGAGTTTCATCATTGCGAGTATGGTGGTCTTCGGCAGAACGCTACAAAGCTGGTGCACAATGTTCCTGTCTTCGCGCAACTCTTTCGGAAGTGCTCTGGAAACCATGTGCATTTGGGCTGGAGACGCGTCAGTTCGCAGCGGTCTGCGGGTCTTGAGGCTGTCTATCCCTGGGGCTTCACCAAGGTCATGGCAGCTTTGCTTCGTGAGCACTTTCTGGAGCTCGGGGCTGTGGCTCCAGCGACCCACCTGCTTCAGGCGCAGCCCTCGGTGCAAACTGCTCGTGCTTTCTCTGGGTTGCAGTCTCGCAAGCGCTTGCCGCCTTTGCTCAGTGAGTTCCATTCCGTGCATTCCGTGCTGGTGCCGCATGCGCACGCAGATCTTTTTCTGGTTCCAGGGCGCAAACTCCTTCATGACTGGTATCCGCCACCTTCAGTCCAGTGCCGGCCTCCTTGTGCAGTTTTGCCGGCGGGCAGTCGCATCCTTCGCTCGCATGTTCTTCACGGGGATAGCCAGGGCGAGCTAAAGTCTGGCTACGTTGAGTCAAGTCCTAGCACGGATATGGTCCGGGGCTCTTCTGATCCGGAAGTTCTGGCACAAGGCCTCTTGAAGAAGGCTAGGCTTCACAGGAGTGATGTTGTGGCTCTTCTGGATCTTCTACCTTCAGAAAATCTTGACAGGTGGTCGGCAGACGGCTACTCTTCTGACTCTGACTCGAAGTCTTTCCAAGCTGGTGGGTATGTTCATGGTGGCGTCAACGGGGTGCGTACAGTCACCAAAAAGTACCCGCTATCGGTGAAGGTGATTTGCAGGTATGTTGCGGATCTTTTTCCCGGGCTTCTTTTTGGCACCGTAGGCCTCTTCAGAAATGTTCTGGCACAGGTCCATTCCCATGCCAACACTGAAATGGGCACCGAAAATTGCATTGCAGCGCTGTCAAGTTTCAAAGGAGGCGAAGTTTGGATGGCTGATCCTAGTGGCGATGTGGCTATGGACTATGGAGGGCGAGATGTTCAAGGCGTGCGGGTGCCGGTTGATGCTGCAGGTTTTCGCTTTGATGGGCATCGCTTGCATGCGACCTGGCCGTGGGTTGGGCGCCGAGACGTAGTGGTTGCCTACATGCCCCGTGGGATGGAGAAACTCCGCGCTGAGGACAAAGCTTTCCTTGTTGACTCTGGCTTCAGGTTAGAAAAAGGAGGGCCGAAAGCGTTAAAGCGTGGGGGCAGCGTCGTCAAAGTGGTGGTGGGTGTGTATCGCACCCCGGAGCAGTTTGTCCAAGAGGCTGTTAAGCTCGGGCACCCAACTGAGCTGGCTTCACTTGTCCCACCTGAGCTTAAAGTGGCAATCGAGCACAACCTCGCGGAGGGAGAAGCAGAAGTGGCAAAGGAGCGGACGGCAATCTTGCGAGAGTGGATTGCCTGGTCGTCTGAGCTGGCCGTTGCAGAAGAATCCCTGAAGGAGGACATGCCCCCATTCAGGAAGCAGGTTCTTGAGCGCAAGAGACTTCTAGTTTTTAAACGAGCTTTGGAGTCGATTGGCCATGAGGATGTTGGTTTGGTGGATGACATCAGCCGTGGCTTCGACTTAACGGGAAAACTGCCCAGGTCGAACGTGTTCTTGAACAAGTTTAGGCCGGCAGAGCAGTCGGAGGCCCAGCTGCGCAAAGGAGCTAAACGGCTCCGGGATGGTTTGCTGGCTACAGTGCGCAGTTCTGGCGATCCTGCCATCGATGGCGGCGTGCTGGAGGCGACGCGCAAGGAGCTCGCTAGAGGCCTCATTGAAGGCCCAGTGCCAATTTCAACTTTGCCTGAGACGGCTTCGCTGACTCATCGCTTTGGGGTCCACCAGGGCCAAACCGAGGAGGGTCCCCGTATCCGTCCCATCGACAATTACCTGTCTTCACAGGTCAACGCTTCGGTCACTCAGGTCGAGCAGGTGCCAGTTCACACGATTGACATCGTTGCTGGTGTGCTTATGCTTTGGGTGAGAACTTGGCTGTCTATGGGAGGTTTGGGGCCCAGCTGCCCTTATTGCAAGGCCTGGGATTTACGTTCGGCGTATAAACAGCTACCTTTATCAGATGTCGCCTTTGCTTTGGACAGCTTTTTCGTGATTTTCAACTGCGAGAGTGGCGGGCCGGAGATATTCCGACAAAGAGTCTTACCGTTCGGATCGAAAGCTAGTGTGACGGGATTCATCCGGTGTGCTTTCGCTTTGTGGCGACTTGGTGTGAAGCGGCTACGCTTAGTGTGGTCAGTCTTCTTTGACGATTACTTGAGTGTGTGTGGCAAGGAGTTTACAAAGCACAATGATTTAGTCATCACTATGTTTTTCAAGATATTTGGCTGGGATGTCGCCGTGGACAAGTCTCTGTCGTACAGTTCTCTTTGCGTGGTGCTTGGAGTGCAGCTCAACTTGAGTGATGCCAAGCTTGGGCTTGCCTTCATCGGGAACACGCCGAAGCGCAGAGAGGAGACGCTAACTGCTCTTGAGGCCGCTCTTCAAAAGGGTGAGCTGGACCCCAAAACTTGCGAGAAGCTTCGTGGACGGTTGCAGTTCGCGAGTTGCCAAGTTTTTGGTCGGCGCCCGAAGGCGGCGCTCAAGCAGTTGGGCGCTCATGGGCGCCGCAGACAGTGGAAGCTGTCTGATGAGACTCGGCGAGCGCTTAACCTTCTAAAAGAGCTTCTTGCGACCGGACGCCCTCGGGCACTGCGTGCAACTGCTGGCAAGGTCTTCCATGTTTACGTCGATGCTGCTTTTGAGCCGAATGGGTTCAGTGGTATAGGTGGTTTAGTTGTGGGCAAAGGTGGGCAGATCCTCGCGTGGTTTGGTGAGCAGATACTGCCGGAGGATCTGTCGCGTCTGAGGACGACAGCCGATGGAGAAAAGGAGACAGTAATTTTTGAGTTGGAGGCTTTGGCTCTTGCACTCTCCATTGAAGTTTTCAAAGCCTTCCTAAAGGATAGCTCTACTGTCTTCTTTACTGACAATGAAGGCGTCTTCGGCACCTTTGTGAGAGGACACAGCGAAGTGAGGAGGTGCGCTCAGCTTCTTGATTTCTTTTGCCAGCGTGAGGAGGAGTTGGGAGTCACATGTTGGCTGGAGCGTGTTCCTTCAGCTTCGAATCCAGCAGATGCTCCGTCACGCGGTGAAATCATCAAGACAACAGGACAACGCCTGAAGGTGAGTAGGGCGCTGATGCAGAATGCGCTACAAGACGTTTTCCTTTGACGCCGCTTACGGCACTTGTGGCATGGGGTGCGGGATGTGCCGCAAGTCAGGGCGTCATGCATTTTCGTGTGCGCCAAGTCTGAATCACCAATCGGTATTTCCCCATGCTACCTTCGTGGAAGAAAAGACAGCGTGCTCTGCGTGGATTGATGAATCATTTTTGGGATGCATACTTCTTAGATAGACTGGATGCCTTTTCATATTTCTTGAGAAGCTGTGTGCGTTTCAGCCTGGTCTCCCAATATTGAAAATAAGACGGAATCGCAGCTTGCTGTGTAGAGTTTTATTTTCATTTGGGAGATGATTTTGTTTTTAACAAAATCAAAGGCTAATGGTCTGTGAGGCCTGATGAGATCTCAAGTAGTATCATTCTCATGGGCATTTTCATGATCGGTGCTGACTTTGTTGGGACCGATGTACGTGCTCAAGTCAGCACATCGAAATTTTGATTTCCCACCCACCCACCCGGTGCGGGATGTGCCGCAAGTCAGGGCGTCATGCATTTTCGTGTGGAAGAAAAGACAGCGTGCTCTGCGTGGATTGATGAATCATTTTTGGGATGCATACTTCTTAGATAGACTGGATGCCTTTTCATATTTCTTGAGAAGCTGTGTGCGTTTCAGCCTGGTCTCCCAATATTGAAAATAAAACCCGTCCCTCAACCATGAGAAGAAGTCCCAAGCTTTTAGGGCATCGGAAGGACTTCAAAAGTTTCGGGCACAAAAGTCCAGCCATTGCTTATGCGCAAAGGCCCTCGTGTCCGTGCGCGCAGCTACCGACGCCAACCTGGCCATCCTGCCTGTGCACGTGGGGTTTTAGGGTGGCACACGTGGCCTGAAGCCGAGGGTTGCAGCCCCAAAAGACCAAGGAAACTCTTGGCCAATTTGGCTTTAAGCAGGCCGTGTAGTGAAAGGGGGGCCAGGCCTCCATCTTAGCCTTCAGCATGTTGCTGCACCAAGAGCTTATATTCGCCTTCTGCCTCAGCCCGCAACCGTCAGGCGAGCCAAGAACCAAAACTTTTCCTGGCCTGAAGATTTGGGCCGCAGCCTTAAGCGGGCCAGCACTCATCTCAACCTGCAGCCTGGGCCATGAACGCGCCAAGCCACAGCCAGCGTTCCTCGCAAACGACAGCTCCTGCACCGACCTCGTTTCTCCTGCGGGCGACATGCGCCCCAAGATGCTCTGACAGCTCGTGCCTGCCTGACATCGCCTCCTCGCACGCCAGACCCATACGCGTATTGCACGAAGGCATACAGAACTCGGATCTGCCCGGCGCCAGCAAGCCAGGACGCCCGGCTGCACGAGCCACGCCAAGGCCGCTCACCACAAATGTCGTAGCCGGCAGGCTGACGAGCCCTAATCAAGCCCCGAACCTCGAGCCGCGGCGTCAAGGGCCTGGCCTTGCATTCTGGCCACTCCCCTCCGCCGCATCACCGGTACTATTACCCAGGATATGGCCTTTCAAGTCTCTCAAAGCCTGTCCGTCGACCATGAGGAGCAGTCCCAAAGCTTTTGGGGCATCGGTGCAATTCACAAGGCCCTCAAGACTTTCAGGCACAAAAGTCTAGCCAATGCTGAAGCAAACCGCCCCCGTGTCCGCGGGCGCCGCTCACGAAGCCAGCCCGGCCATCCTGCGTGAGTTCTTGAGGGTTTAGGATGGCACGCGCACACACCTGCCCGCAACACTGGCATCGATGCCTATGTATTGGCTACCATTTCCCATGCATTTGCGCCTTGCGAGGTGCGGTAAAACCCGTCCCTCGACCATGCGGAGAAGTCTCAAAGCTTTCGGGGCACCCGAGCAATTCACAAGGACTTCCAAACTTGCAGGCACAAAAGTCCAGCCAATGCTTAAGCAAACCGCCCTCATGTCCGCGGGCGCCGCTCGCGACGCCAGCCCGGCCATCCTGCCTGAGTTCTTGAGGGTTTAGGATGGCACGCGCACACACCTGCCCGCAACAATGCCATCTATGCCTTTGTATTGGCTACCATTTTTCATGCATTTGAGCCTCGAGAGGTGCGGTAAAACCGGTCCCTTGACCATGAGGAGAAGTCGCAAAGCTTTCGGGGCGCCCGAACATTTCGCAAGGACTTCCAAACGTGCAGGCACAAAAGTCTAGCCAATGCTTAAGCAAACCGCCCTTGTATCCGCGGGCGCCGCTCGCGAATCCAGCCCGGCCATCCTGCCTGAGTTCTTGACGGTTTAGGATGGCACGCGCACACACCTGCCCGCAACAGTGCCATCTATGCCTTTGTATTGGCTACCATTTTTCATGCATTTGAGCCTCGAAAGGTGCGGTAAAACCTGTCCCTTGACCATGCGGAAAGTCTCAAAGCTTTCGGGGCACCCGAGCAATTCACAAGGACTTCCAAACTTGCAGACACAAAAGTCCAGCCACTGCTTAGCAAATCACACTCATGCCCGCGGGCGCCGCTCGCAAAGCCAGCCCGGCCATCCTGCCTGAAGGTTTAGGATGGCACGCGCCCACACCTGCCGCAACAATGCCATCTATGCCTATGTTCTGGCTACCATTTTTCATGCATTTGAGCCTCGAGAGGAGCGGTAAAACCTGTCCCTCGACCATGAGGAGAAGTCGCAAAGCCTTCGGGGCGCCCGAGCAATTCACAAGGACCTCCAAAAATGCAGGCGCAAAAGTCCAGCCGGCGCCTAAGAGAATCGCCCTAGTGTCCGCGTGCGAAGCTCGCGACGCCAACCCAGCCATCCTGCCTCGGTTCTCGGGGCTTAGGATGGCGCGCGCCCGCATACTGCTTGCGACGGTGCCATCTATGCCCATGTCTTTGGCTGCTACTTCTCACGAGTCTTCGCCCTGAGAGATGCGACCCCGAGGCATGCACACGGGGTAGATGCAGGAATTCACACAAGAACACGAGTGAAGCCTGCGGAAGCTCCCAGAAATTGAGCGCGCAATACCTCAAGGTTTTGGATGACACGCAGACATACAATACTCGCATGTCTGCATGTGTTCGCCTACGTTTTGCGTGCCAAATCTCTTCCCGAGAGAAGCTGCCAGAAGTCAGCCTGACAGTGCCAAGCTCTCAGAAATCGAGCGTGCCTGTGCCTCAGGGTTTAGGATGACACGCAGGCACGCTGTACACGCAGCAATGCCTTTCCTGCCAGTATTCGCCTACCATTCCTGCCAGTACTCGCCTATACTTGCGAGCCAACTCTCTCCGCGAGAGATGCCGCCCAAGTCTGCATAACAGGGTCAAAGCTCCCCGACATCGAGCACGCATGTGCCTCAGGCGCCGCAGCAATGCCCCTTTTTGCCAGCACTGCCCATACTTCATATGCCAAATATCTCCTCAGGAAACACGGCCCAAAAGTCGGCCGAACAGTGCCAAAGCTCCCAGCAATCGCGCGCGCCCGGACCTCAGGCACAGCAATGCCTGTTTCTGCCAGTCTTTGCCTACACTTCCTATGCCCAACATCTCCTCAAGAGATGCTGCCCAAAAGTCGGCCGAATAGTGCCAAGGCTCCCAGTAATCGCGCACGGCGCGCCGTGCACGCAGTAAGGCCGTTTCTGCCAGTAGTATTGGCCTGCACTTGCAATGTCAAATCTCTCCGCGAGAGATGCTGTCCAAAAGTCAGCCCAAGCTCCCGCAAATCGAGCGCGCCTGTGCCTCAGGGCTTAGGATGACTCGCAGGCACGCAACGCACGCAGCACAGCTAGCCCTCACACTGGCCTTCCTCACGGTCATCGGAGCCCCACTCAGCTGGAAGAAACTCGCAGTGTCGGGTCACAAAGGACGCCTCATTCCTACAATTGCCCATAAAGGCCAAGGTAATTGAGGTCAAAGGGAAGCCGGTGTCGTCGAAAACGGACATCTGGCCCATCCCAGCTGCAGACAAGACTGTATGGGTGCGCATCGCTGACCCAAACGCACAGGAAATCACATTGCGCAACGACAGCAAAGCCTTACACTGGCTCGCTCAGTGCTTTACGCACGAATTCCGCATGCCCCTAGCCCAGCCGCCCTTTCTCTGCAGCAGACGCCATGGCAGATGGCTCGCAAGTTGGGATCGGGGGCTGGTTGTGCACGTCCAGCCAAACTTTCTGGTTCGCACAACAGTGGTCATAGCAGAACTACGTGCCCACTGGCCTTTCCTCACGAAGGATGCCCAGCAAGAAAAAAAAATTGCCTGCTTCGAGACCATCGCGCAGTGGGTCCTATTGCAGATGGACTACTCGGCCACCGGTTGCTCCAGCCTTCGCTTCTGCTTGCCCACTCCCAGCGACAACAGCCCAACACAAGCCTCAGTCAACAAGCTGTTTACCACCGCCTTTCCCCTCAGCCTCTTCCTGCAGAAGGTAGCCTCCTGGGCCCACGCTAAAGGACTGATCCTAGAAGTGGGCCACATACCGGGAGTAAAGAACACGGACGCTGACGACCTTAGCCGAAACCGCCTGCAGAAGTTCACCGGCGCGACCAAATCCAAGAGATTCCACATCAAGCTGCAAGACCTAGCTCGGTCGGAGCACGAGGTCAGCCTATGGCCCCCAAACGCCAACTGGAGCGCAGGTTTTCAGCACATCCAGCCTAGTGCCCCGGGCACCAGCCAGACCGCCCGCGGTGGGGGTCGATAGGCCTAATGCATTCACCGGTCTGCCCTGGGCCCCTGAAGTGGGGGTGTGATGGCCTTTCATGCTCGTGGGACATTGCCCAGCCTTTCCCACGAAGCATTCTACTCTTTCGCCCAGAGCAGCACCGCTGAAAACAGGAGAGCGAGTCGGTTGTACCCTAAGCCCCTCCCTTTTGGGACTTAGGATTAGGGTTTGGCTCCTCTCCCCAACTAGGGTTAGGTCATGCAGTGCTTGTTGGGAGAACGCTTCGGGTTTTTGGTTCCCGTGTGTTTTCCCACAAGTGAATCATGCACCAAGGCTCCCAGCTGTTCTGTGTAGAGTCGCCCGTAGTCGGTTTTTGGTCTGGTTGTCTTTTGGTTGGGTTTCTTGCGTGTTTCGTTCGCTTTTCGCCTTTGC